GGTCAGCTGGGGGAAAATGCCGGCCGGGGCTTTGCGAGGACCACGGGGGAGGGCTCCCCCGCGGTCCTTCCCAAGCCCCCGCCGGTCAGCTGGGGGGAAATGGGGCATATGGGGAAAAAATCGCAAAGCGATTTTTCCCCATAGGGAACATCGCAATGCGATCGCAAAAGCGATTGCAAAATCCACATAGCTATGCAGATTCGTCATTAAACGGGGCGCCCGTTAAGCGAGGCACCACTGTACTTAGTTTTTTGGTTAAAACTTGTATCTGCTATGTAATACCAGTCAATATTCTTATAATTTTTATGGAGTATGCCTGGCATTTTTTAACAACAACAACAACAGTAATAAAATGGTAAAGTTGGAAGGGGCCTATAAGTCCATCAAGTCCAACTCCCTGGTCGATGCAAGAATACAAATCAAAGGATATCTGCCAGGTGGTTATCTTAAGTTTCTCTTGAATCCAATGTTGGAGCACTCAACACCTTTTGAGGTAATTGCTTCCATTGCCATACTAATACTAATATGTCCTCAAGGTTTTTGACATTGTGTTAATTATGATTGTAATGCGCTATTCTATTTTGTGTAAACAGATCTCTAATATACACTAGATAAAAAAATTTTACTTTGTGTTTCTAGTTTGTTTACTCTTCCAGAAAAGCAACAGCAGAGAGTTTGTCACACCTTCTGTTCGTCTTTAAGATACCACAAGACTCTCTGCTCTTCTTGCTGGAACAAACTGACACAGCTACCCTTCAAATCACCTGAAGCAATACTTCCGCTCAGGTCCATCTTCGGCCCATTTCATTTCATTCATCTTTTTTTCCAGATAAAAAGACCTCCTAACAGCATCTTCGTATCTTTCATTCTGGGTCCGGAAGTACTGGTTTTCCTTGCTAAATTCCGGGTCTTTTTGAAGCCAGGTATCTGTGGAAACATATGGCCAATCTTTCACCTGCCCTGGCATCTGAAATTACCCACAGATAGTCAATGAGGCAGTGATGGCGAACCTATGGCATGCATGCCACAGCTGGCACGCGAAGCCCTTTCTTCTAGCACGTGACAAACCTTTTGCAGTGGGTGCAGCTGAGATTCCCCCTTTCTCTTCCTGTTCTGGGTCCTTTAACTTCCTGTCCGTCCCCATGATTTTCCCTTTAACTTCCTGTCCATCCCCATGATTCCCCGTTTAACTTCCTATCCATCCTCATGATTCCCCCTGAAACTGCCACTTCCTGTTGCTGTTCTGGTCTTCCGGGCAGCACGGCAACCGCTGGTTTCTTCGCCACCCCCTCATTTTGGACACTTGAGCCAAAAAAGGTTTGCCTCCACTACAGTGAGGGATTTATAAGCCCTAAGCTTCAGGTTCAATGCCACAGTTCCTCTCCTCCTGAAAAATGACTTCTGTAATTTCTCTCTACCTTTCTCTGCAACAAGGCAGAGAATGGAGAATCCCAACCCCCAAATAAACCATGAGCTCCTTCAAAACAGCTTGGTTACCTACTGCTCTCCGGATCCGGGTATTTTCAGCACCACCATCCAATATATTGGTAAGCCGCTCTACATCGAAGGAGGGGTTTTTCCTTTCTATGTCAAGGTCAGGATTCACATCTTTTCCAGTGGAATTTAGGAAAAGGGAATTTACCTTCTGCATGGCCATTGTGAACCCTGAAGAAACACTTAGAGGAACAGCATAAATTAGTTACACAGCATCTTCTGACTTCTAACAAGAAAGAGCTCTCTAAAGCATTCCCCCCCCCCCGGAAGAACTATTGTTTCCTTAAATTGGATCTAGTAGATCAGGGGTTGTCGACTCCCAGTCTGCGGCTTGGTTTGGTGCCGGTCTGTGGGCTTGCTGAAAACTGGGCCACGGATATGGATCTCCACCCATCCCTGGCATGCATGTGTTGTGGGTGTGTTATGCTCGTAGGGGTGTGTGTCGTGCTCGCTCCCCCCAGCTGCTCCGCTGCCCCAAAAAGGTTGGGAACTACTGTAGTAGATTGAATTAGTGTAGCACTAGGTAAACTTCTTTGGTGAGAGCAAACTATATGGAACACAGGGATTTGCTTCTGAATAATTATGGACACACTGCATAGCTGTCGGCTCCACCATAGAATATGTTGAGCAATCATCCTGCAAATAAATGATTGATTGGTATAAGCCTGGGATGGGGACCGAAGTCATGAGACTCACTTTCAAGTCACACTTAAGTTGCACCAGCAACTCAACTTGGGCTCAACTCGGAGGCCCTCCCCCCCCAATGACTCAGCCTTGATTTGTAACTCGGAACTCACCCATCCCCTCCTTTTTTCTGGGAGAGAAAGCTTGTTTTTTCCCCTCCCCCCAATGACTCAGCCTCAATTTGTAACTCAGAACTTACCCATCCCCTCCTTTTTTTCTGGGGAAAAAAGCTTGTTTTTTGATAAGGACTTGGGACTTGGCACCAAAGACTCAGACTTGGGACTCAAAGACTTGCCAACATCCCTGGTAAAGGCTAATGTTCCTTGCACATGTGTCTAAAGGCGGCAGGGCTGAGGAATTTGTAGCCTTCCACATGTTGGTGGACTCTTGTTTTTCATCAGCCCCCAGCCTGCTTAGCCAATGGTAAAGAAGGATGGGGATATTTCAACAAGAACAAGAGAGCCACAGCGCTTTGAGTCACAAATAAAAGTATTGCCATGCAAAACTCTACCAGAGGTACTCATACTACATATCTCCCTCCCAAATGTTCTACAAAAAGTGGGGAAGCACACGACTACCCCAGGGAATAATATTTGCTTCCCTTCACAGGCTGTGGGCCAAATCTAGAGTGGTGATATCACAAAGCTCTCATTTATGGAACAAATTCACTTTCCTGTTTCAAATATATTTTCTCTTTTAGAAAAAAGTGATTGCTCACTGCAGTTCAGTGCAGAGGGACATCCCTCTGACCTTTTACTTCAAGTATAAAGCAAAAAGCAAAAACAAAAAAACACCACTATGGTGGCCATTCTGTGTCTTCTTATCTAGGAATAAGTAAGACTGTGTTATTGTGTTGCAGCCCTTCAAAGCAAGTCCCATTGAACTGTTAAACATATCAGGCTTTCTACTGACATGTTTACCAGTGCAGTCCAACATATATATCCTCTTCAGTTTTTTTTCCCATTTTTCACCCCCTAATTCTCTTTCAACAACGGTACTGTACAGACCAGTTTCCATCAAACTTGTGCATTCTCAATATATTTTTTTGGGGGGGGGGTATGACTTTTTGCTACATGCCATCAAGTTGCCATCAACTTATTGCTACCCCATGAATGAATGATCTCCAAAATGTCCTGTCCTCCACAGCCCTGCTCAGCTTTAGCAAACTGAAGCTGGTGGCTTCCTTTAGGTAGCCAATCCATCCTGTCTTGGGTTTTCCTCTTTTCCTGCTGCCTTCCTCCTTTCCTAACAATAGTAACTTTTCCAGAGAATCCTGCCTTCTCATGATGTGCCCAAAGCAGGACAGCTTCATTTTCAATATTTTTGACTCCAGAGATAGGTCAGGATTGATTCATTCTTGAACATGCTTGTTCCTATTTCTGGCAGTCCAGGGTACCTGCAAAACTCTCCTCCAGGACCACGTTTCAAATGAATAATTTTCCCCTCAGCTTTCTGAACTGTCCAGCTTTTGCACAGTATAACTCCTGTGGGACAACTCCTATTGGGGGGTGGGGGGATATAACTCCTATTACTCCCCAGCCAGAATGACCTATTTTCCCTCAGCTTTCTTAACTGTTCAGCTTTTGCACAGTATAACTCCTGTGGGTACAACTCCTATTGGGGGGTGGGGGGATATAACTCCTATTACTCCCCAGCCAGAATGACCTAAGTTCAAGAAAGTTTAGAGTTTATGTACCGTAGTACATCTGGAAGCCAACTGGACTTCTTGCTCTGGAACAACTTGCCCCTAGAGATCTGCCTGGCTCCTTCTCTGTGTGTCTTTAGAAGTAAACTAAAGACATGGCTATTTAGGCAGGCTTTCCCTCCTGCTGTATTTTAATATGTATATTTTTACATCTAGGATATTCGTATGTTATTGGTTTTATTGTTTTTAAATTTTATTATGCTGCCCAGAGAGTAGACTATCTGTCTAGATGGGTGGGGCATAAATCTAATAAAACAAACACAATTAACTGGGAAAACATTTAGCCAATTATTTCCCACTTTATTTAGTACATGATAGCTTATTCTTCTAAAATAAACTGTTTGGGAAAACATTTAGCCAATTATTTCCCACTTTATTTAGTACATGATAGCTTATTCTTCATGTGCAAATTAGGAGAGAGGGAGGGAGGAAAGAAAGTATACATGCCCTTTGATTTACACGGGGCAGTGGCCACCTTCCAGAACGGCAGCCCAAGTAAGTAATGAATGGAGCTGCAAAAAATGATATAAGCTTTGGCCATCTCATGAGAAGAAAAGAGTCCTTGGAAAAAACCTTGATGTTAGGAAGGTGTGATGGCAAGAGGAGAAGGGGACGAGAAGGCAGCCCAAGTAAGTAATGAATGGGGCTGCAAAAAATGATATAAGCTACTATGGAGAAGCTCCGACCACAATATTCTAGGGAACTTCCCAGCCCAGTTTGGAAAAGTTGCGTCCCAAAGAGAAGATCCGATCACAATATTCTAGGGAACTTCCCAGCCCAGTTTGGAAAAGTTGCGTCCCAAAATCTCTCACCAGGCAGGCTTGCGAATTCTGCTCTCCTAAGCTCTGGCCAAAGAAGTTTGGCAACAACGCAACACGGCGCGGCATGTAAAGCAACCTTTGTACACAGGCTTCACGGACTTGCGTAACCAGTTGCATACAACAACCCCGATATGAAACTCAAGATACCAGTACGAAGCTAATGATCTTCCCAGGAGAGAGAGAGGGAGGGAGGGAGAGAGGGGTTGCATACAACAACCCCGATATGAAACACAAGATACCAGTAGGAAGCTAATGATCTTTCCAGGAGAGAGAGAGAGAGAAAGAGAGGGAGGGAGGGAGAGAGGAGGAGGAGGTCTGTGTTGCAAAGGCAACTTGAGAGAACTCTTTCCTTTTCTTTCGGAGGCACAAAGTTAATTCTCCACCAGAAGAAGAAAGGTCCCGATAAGACCTTCACGACATAACCTCCCATCCCCTCTCTTTCTTCTAACTGAGAAGAAACTCCCCTTGAGACACCAGTGGGGCTCAGCCTCAGGGATCAGGGGATGGAGACGCAGCCCGCCTCCACCAGCCAGCCATCCACCCACGCACGCGCCGTCCGCCCGGGCTGCTCGCGCACAGCGCGCACTCACCGTCCTTCTCAGCGTCTCCCGACTCCCAGCACCGACGGACACCTTCGCTCTCGGCACCTCTCACGCTCCGCCTTCCTACCTCTATGGTCTCCGGCCCGTCTCTATGGTGCTGCTAAAAAGGACGGGCCAGGCTCGGTCTAGACTCCGCCTTCTTCCGGATGGAACGCCGATTGTTTATCGCCGGACTTTCGAACGCGTTGTAGCCTGTTGGGGACGGGCCTCTGGAGGGAGTGAGCTGGGCTTCACCCGCTGCGCCCGTTCCTTCCTTTTTAGAGGGACGTGCTCTTCTTGGGCCTCCTTTCTTCGGCACTTCAGTTTTTGAATTGAACTTCTGTCCCGCTCTTTCACTGCTGACCATTTAGAAAATAAAACAACAAACTTAAAAGTAGAACGAGCTCTCGAGGATCATTCACCTTTTTGCTCTCTGTGATCTTCGTGACAAAAGAGATAATGTCGGACCTGCTTTTCTTTTTAGTTTTTCGTTCTCACTGCACCCGTATTGACCCCAATTTATTTATTATTTTATTTTATTTATTAGATTTTTACCCCGCCCCTCTAGGCAATGTCTATTCGGGACGGCTTACATAGATAAAAACACAGGAACGTAACATGTATAAGGTCATAAAGAATGCAATTATAACAATTCCAAACAGCGCATTACCAAGATGGCATAACCAGGGCTAGTCCCATAGAATTGAGCAGCGCTCCCCATATTGTCATGATATGCATTATAGTGTTTGACATTTATAATGCTGTGCATGCTGTACCAAAATCCTTGGCGAATGAAAGACAATTTACCATTTTGTGAAACAAAATTCAAGGACTAGGGCAAAGTTATTGGCTTCTGTCCCCTCACTGTTTCCCCCCATTGTCAGTGTTCAACCATAAGGTTTTAACGTCCTATAAAACCAAAGTGGGAGACTCACCAGCTTCCAGACTTTTTGGGCTGTGGCCTTTGAGCATCGGTTGTACAGCCTTGCGGTTGCTTCTGTATTAACCATTCTAAACAGGCCAGCCTCTGTATAAAAGACCACCAGTCCTTCTCATGCAGGTGTATATAATCATAGTCTAATCTTTATTTTAGGACTGCAGAGCTGGAAGGGAGCCTATGCATCATCAAGTCCAGCCCTTGTTGAGGAAGCACAGTGGGGAACTGAACTCCCAACCTCTGGCTCCACAATCAAATAGAGAGGTTACTTACCTGTAACCATAGTTCTTTGAGTGGTCCTCTGTGAATCCATACGAATGGGTTAAGACTGCCTGTGCCATGGGGGAACGTCCTACTAATCACATGTTTTTAAACTCTAGAATATTCCGAGAAGTCCTGCGCAGGCGCAGTCTAAACCCATTTGTGTGCATTCACAGAGGCCACAAAGAAGAAACAAAAACCACTGAGCTATGCAGCCGTTCCCATCTGGATAGGAAGCCTGTAGTAATATAAAAATGTAGCTTAGTGTTCCTTATACAAGTTATAGTCTCCACCCACCAAATAATTAACCAAGATTTAAGGTAAATTGCCCCTCAAGTTTCAGATCAGGGTAGAGAAGTTATGGCCCTCAAGATGTATTTTGGACAGCATCTCCTCTTACCTCTCACTCCTAGGTATGATTTCTAGGGCTGATTAGAGTTGCACAACAATAACACCTGAAGCTCCACATGTTCTTAACATGTTATTTTAGAACTTGTTTGGGCACATTGCTGGAATAGGATGCATAGCACCTGTTTTTATTTTAACCCCTTTGAGAAGAATAATTTTTGGAACACAGCAAGGCAGTCATAATCCAGGGGAAAGTTTAATTAAAAATTCGTCCCGCCTGGCTTTTGTTGTTACTTTATATCATAGTAGGGCGCTGTGGGCTAAACCGCAGAAGCCAATAATTAACCAAGATTTAAGGTAAATTGCCCCTCAAGTTTCAGATCAGGGTAGAGAAGTTATGGCCCTCAAGATGTATTTTGGACAGCATCTCCTCTTACCTCTCACTCCTAGGTATGATTTCTAGGGCTGATTAGAGTTGCACAACAATAACACCTGAAGCTCCACATGTTCTTAACATGTTATTTTAGAACTTGTTTGGGCACATTGCTGGAATAGGATGCATAGCACCTTTTTTTTAACCCCTTTGAGAAGAAGAATTTTTGGAACACAGCAAGGCAGTTAAAATCTTGAGGATGTTTCATTAAAAATTCATACCACCTGGCTTTTGCTGTTACTTTATATCATAGTAGGGCATTGTGCTTTGGCCTCTGGCACACAAAAGGTATTGTTCCAGTCTATAGTTTTTGCACATTTCACTCTGAGATTAATGCTAGTAGAAGATAAAATGAGAGAAATAAATGAAACTGCATGTGGTAAGATAAGTCTGTGAGATTTGGTTTGTCCAATTTAATACTCAGAGAACCAGAGGCACAAAGCTACGTTGAAGAAGGCATCTCCATACACATCAGAAGAAGTGAGGGCACCCAGGCCCTAGCCACAGTACACTAATCCCTGCCAGAGAATGTGTATTTTTGAAAGACATAGGAGTCCAAAACTGCTTGAGCTATAAATACTAAGGACCCCCTCAGAGCCAGACATTTTGTAAAAAACAACCAGGAACTGCTCTTGAGAAGTTGAAGTCCTATGAGGGTGAAGGAATCAGAGAAGACCTGTGTTCTACGTCACTTTTCATGGTAGAGGTAGTCCTGCTAATGTTATTGTCTAAGAACAACAGGAGTCTCTAGATGTAACGCCATTCCTGTGCACATGGCCTGAAAAATCAACAGCATCTAGCTAGTGATGGTCTTTTTCTGACCCATAGGGTTAAGGTATTGTCTGTCTTAGTCTGGGAGATATCTGTAATCCTCCTGAGCATCCTAGTTATTACTCACTTTCTCTTGGAGGACAGAGCTGTGTATGCCATGGAGCCTCGTGGCACAGTCGTTAAATTGCTGTACTGCAGCCAAAACTGCTCGTCCTGGGGTTCAATCCAGGTAGCTGACTCAAAGTTCACTCAGCCTTCTATCCTTCCGAGGTCGGTAAAATGAGTACCCATCCCACTGCAGGGTGTGTGTGCAATGTGTAGCCTGGGTGTCTTTAGAAGTAAACTAAAGACATGGCTATTTAGGCAGGCTTTCCCTCCTGTTGTATTTTAATATTTATATTTTTACATCTTGGATTTTCGTATGTTATTTTATTGTTTTTAAACTTTGTTATGCTGCCCAGAGTAGACTATCTGTCTAGATGGATAATTAACTTGTAAGCCACGTAAGCCACCCAGCAAGTGCTTTAAGGACTATGCATGTAGGCATCCTTCAGTCTCGAGAGACTATGGTAATGTGCTTTGTATGGAGGATGTGGAACAGCGTCTAGTGCGGCTGAGAAGGCCAATTTGAGAGTGACAATTCCTTCCACACTGAAGACAAATACGTCTGTCCCCTGTCCAACTCCCTGATTTAGCTTTGACGCTGTATGTGAAGCTGGAGTGTCCTCTCCAGAGCACGAAGCCTGGGTAAAATAAAATAATATGGAGGATAGTCTGTTACCCAAGCAGCAAATCCCCCCTCTCCACATAGCTGAAATAGTCCAAAGGAAAGGCAAGAGCCAATATATCTGGTTCCAGCAATGTAGTAGCAGGAGTTGCCAGAACGACATGAATTGCCTCCGGGACTCTGGCTCTGGATTTTGCCTCGAGGTTAACTCCTGAAGCCCTTTCCATCAGCGAATATAGTCACAAGGCAGTGGAGCTTTGAAATTGGAGTTTTCCTTCTCCTAGATGGGCTGCCTTTCAAGGCTAACGAGCCCCACCTACCCGGCACTATGGGGCGGCATATAAGCAGCATGCTTTGCTTTGCTTGTCCTAGACCCCCCAAACAGGCTTGCTCTCCTAAGATGTGGTGACACACCCTGCCCCATTGGCAGTATCAAAGGTGGCTTTTCACAGGGTTTTCATGGTAAGAAAAATTCCGCAGGGATTTACCATTTGGTACTGCCAAAAGTTAGCTTTACTGTCACCGCTGTTGCCTCCTTCATCAGTGACACCTTCAGCTACTGCTGCTGTCCATTAGATGCCTTGAAGAGGGTTAATGGGTCTTAGTCTGGTCTCTGCTGTGACCATTACATCTTGGGTGACCCTGCCAAGAGTCCAGACTTGTAATGGAGACTAGCTTCCTGACAGCATTTCTCTGAGCCTCGCCAACAGATTCAAACTCTTTCACCACGTTAAGGTGTGCATCCAAGAAGGGGGAAAATGGACTCTCAATTTCTAAATGTGTAGTGACCTCCTGTGTCCTTTGTGAAAACTACTGGCTTCAATGGCCATTTTCCGTCAGCTCTCAATGCCGGACGCTTGTTGCTAGAAGCAAAAGGTTTGGCCAAGACTGCAGTTCCACATTAATGCCATCAGATGTCAGCATGCTGAAAGAAAAAGAAAGCAAAACAAAAGCCCTCCTGCTCTCTAGAGAGCAGTACCCTTTATTTAAATAAAATTTGATTTTTGAATACCCAGTTGGATTCAAAGAGGCCATTATGAGAACCAAAGAGCTCCTTCCATTTATATACCATGATCCAGCAGAGTTTCCATTTTGGAGAAAGCTGGCAGGAATGAGCTCTTTGCCAGTTCTCCATTCTTCTGCGTGTTAACTCTCATGTTGTTCTGAAGGTCCCGGACTCAGTGCTCCAAAACAGCTTTTCAGGAAGCAGAACATGCTTTTGATCTTCAAAACTGTCAGCGGGCCGGACGGGAATGGCTCGCGGGCCGTATGTGGCCCTTGGGCCGCACTTTGCTCAGGTCTGTCCTAAATGATACACAGTGCTTCAAAGTGACTGTGTTTAGCATCATCTAGATGCTGTCCAGGTTGTTCCAGGCCAGGATAATTGGGTCATCTAGGTGCACTCCTAGTTTCCAAACTCATTTTTGGGACTTTTCTGTAAAATGGTATTCTAGAAACTTCTTAAATAATGAGATATACAAATGAAGGGGCATAGCTTGCTTGAGCGAAACAGCCATCATAGACCAGCCAGCACAGCTGTGACTTTTGTATCAAACGTGCCCCTCACAGCCTCAAATGGCAAACTTGCCATGACAGACATTTTGCAATAGTGGATCATCA